GTTCACAGGCAGCAGCAACTCGCTAGCCACACAGCTAGCCACTCGCCTCTCCCCAGCTAGCTAGCTAGCTAGCTAGCTAGCTAGCTAGCTGGGTGGCTGGCTAGCTAGCCGGGTAGCTGCGTCGCGAGATGGCCACGTGCCGGTGCCCCACAGTGCAGGGAGAAGCTGGCCAGCTAGCTAGCTAGCTAGCTAGCTAGCAGCTAGTTAGCTAGCTAGCTAACAGCTAGCTAGCTAGCTAACAGCTAGCTCGCAGGCTAGCTAGCTAGTCCATAGGCACTAGTGTGCGGCCGCCACCCAGCTAGCGCCCCACCTGGCTAGCCACCTGGTTAGCCGCCGAGCTAGCTCGCTAACTAACTAACTAGCTAGCTAGCTAGCTAGCTAGATTGCTAGCTAGCTAGCTAGCCAGCGAACCAGCTAGCTAGAGAGGCCCGGGGCGGAGCCCGTTCGCTAGCTGTGGCTAGCTGTTTGGGGCTGTGTGGCGCATGCAGCTCGAGATCCCTCTTGTCCTGTAAAGCAGATAACAGCCTAGCTAGCCAGCTAGCCAGCCAGGTGGCTAGCTAGCCACTCAGCTAGCCCCACAACAGCCTCGCCCGCTCGCCACCTAGCTAGCTACCCAGCCACTCAGCCAGCTGCCTAGCTAGCCAGCCCGCCAGCTAGCCAGCTACCCAGCCAGCTAGCTGGCCAGCTAGCCAGCTAGCTAGCTAGCTAGCTGGCTAGCTAGCTAGCCCGCGGCTGTGGGGCCCCCCCACAGCTAGCCAGTCTGGGGACTGCTGTCTCCTTTTGAGTCTCCGCAGCAAACTCAAACACCTCCAGGCCCCCACTGGCCCCGGCGCAGCAAAGGCGCAGTGCATGCAAAGGGGAGCCCCCTGAAGGCCTGGGGGGCCCCCCGGGGGGCCCCCCGGGGGGCCCCCCTGGGGGCCCCCCTGGGGGCCCCCCAGGGGGCCCTTCTGGAGGCCCCTGGGGGCCCCCTAGGGAGTCTTCTTTTCCTAGGGGGCAGACAGCTAAGGCGGCGACTTCAGCTACGCCAGTCTGAGCAGCTGCGATTCGCTGCAACGCAAAGGTATCTATCTGCTGCTGCTGCTGCTGCTGCTGCTGCTGCTGCTGCTGCTGCTGCTGCAGCAACTCTCGTTGCTGCAACAAACGCTCTACTGGGGGCCCACACGACCGCCAGAGCTCCTCCAGCTGGCGGTCTAGACGCTGCGCGTTTTGCTGCATTGCAGTGGGGGAGGCCCTCACTGCAGCAGCAGCAGCAGCAGCAGCAGCAGCAGCAGCAGCGGGAACAGCAGCAGCACCTGAGGGCACGAAGCAGCCGATTGGGGGCCTGCAGCAGCAGCCTGCTTCTGCTCTTCCTCTGCTGCTGTCTTTACACAAAACGCATCCCCTCTCTCCCTTTTGTGCACGCCAACCCCACCTGCTGCTGCTGCTGCTGCTGCTGCTGCTGCTGCTGCTGCTGCTGCTGCTGCTGGGGGGGTCTGCATGCAGCTTCCAGGCTTGTATCCACTTGTCGCAGCCCGCAGTGAAGACATAAGGGAAAAAGAGACAAAGAGAACGCACAGAAGCCCCGTGGGCGTTGGGGTGCCGCACGCAGCTCAGCAGCTGCATGCGCCACCTGCTGCTGCTGCTGCTGCTGCTGCTGCTGCTGCTGCTGCTGCTGTCGGCTGCTGCTGCTGCTGCTGGCTGCTGTGGGGCCGCTGGGGCAGCTGAGAGGGACAGCACGTGAAGCGCTATTGCGTCATCATCGCCACTTGTGAGGACGAGGAGCCGAGCAACTTCAGTCTCTGCTGCTGCTGCTGCTGCTGCTGCTGCTGCTGCTGCTGCTGCTGTTGCAGGCAGACTTTGCTGCTGCAGCAGGTGTGCAGACACAGCTGTGATTGCTCTCTGGTGGCTGCTGACAGAGCCTACGGGCAGCAGCAGAAATTCGCTGCCGCTTTGCTGCAGCAGCACAAAAGCAGCAGACCCATCCGTGAGGCCCAGCACAACCAAGCCGCTGCTGCTGCTGCCTGCTGCTGCTGCTGCTGTTGCTGCTGCTGCTGCTGCTTCTGTTGGCGCTTCTGGCAGACGGATCAAGTCGCAGCAAAGAGGGACGGCGGGGAGGCTAAGAGAGGAGACAATTGACGGGCTGCCCTCTGCAGCAGCAGCAACGGCTGCAGCAGCAGCAGCAGCTGTAGCAGGTGCCTCTGGAGCAGCAGCAGCAGCAGCAGGCGACTCTTCAGCTGCAGCAGCAGGACGTGCTGCTGCTGCTGCTGCTGCTGCTGCGGGTATTTCAGCTGCAAAGGAGACACCAAACCGAACCAGAAGCAGCTTCGCTGTCGACACCCCAACCAAGACGTATGCTTCGCAGGCTTGCTGCTGCTGCTGCTGCTGCTGCTGCTGCTGCTGCTGCTGCTGCTGCTGCTGCTGGCAAACCCATCCACATGCAGTGGTGAACCGAGCATTCGCTGAGGGGCCTTTTGCTGCTCGGTCCTCCAGGCAGAGGGTGAACAGGTGGACCAGCTTCGCTGCACCACTAGCAGCAGCAGCAGCAGCAGCAGCAGCAGCAGCAGCAGCAGCAGCAGTTGCTGCTGGGGCTGCTGTTGGCGTTGCAGCAGGTTGTGTTGCTGCTGCTGCTGCTACGTGGAAAAGATTCAGAGTCTGCACTGCACCGGCACTGGCCAGAAGGCGGGGTAGCCGACACTGCTGCGGTCGCTGCTGCTGCCGCTGCTGCTGCTGCCGCTGCTGCTGCTGCCGCTGCTGCTGCTGCTGCTGCTGCTGCTGCTGCGGCTCCCAGCACTGCAGCTGCGCAACCGCGCGAACAGCTGCGCGGTGTCTTGTGGTGGTGGAGAGGACTCTAAGGCTGTGCGTCAAGCAGTAATTTCCTGCTGCTGCTGCTGCTGCTGCTGCTGCTGCTGCTGCTGCTGCTGGAGGCCCTTCACACTCTATGATGCTTAGCGTGTTGTCTTCAGAAGCAGCACAAATGATAGAAGGAGACAAAAAGGAGACAGCGTGAATGTCCCCTGCAGGAAAGTGTGGGTTGAAGGAGACACAACCTTGCTGCTGCTCCTGCTGCTGCTGCTGCTGCTGCTCCTGCTGCTGCTCCTGCTGCTCCTGCTGCTGCTGCTGCTGTTGCATTGCTTCCTGTTGCAGAGCCGCGCTATTCCCGCCGCTGCCGCTGCTGCTGCTGCTTGTGTAGAGACACATAAGGTGTCCCCTGGAGAAGGCTAAGGAGACGCTGCTGCTGCTGTTTGCTGCTGCAGCAAACGACCGCTTGCTGTCTCCGCACTGCAGCAGCAGCAGCGGGGCCTCCTGAGTGAGGGAAAAGGCAACGAGCTCGCTGCCGCGCACGCCGACTGCTACGTGCTGCTGCAGCAGCGCAAAGCCGTCCTCTTCCTGCTGCTGCTGCTGCTGCTGCTGCTGCTGCTGCTGCTGCTGCTGCTGCTGCTGCTGCAGAGAAGCACCAAAGTCCCACCAGGGGCCTCCGGGCCCCTGGGGGCCCCCCACTGGAAGGAGACAAACAAAATTCGTAATTTGATTTATTCGGACTGCATGCAGCTGCTGCACAAAGACCTGCTGCTGTGCCCACAAGCTGCTGCTGCTGCTGCTGCTGCTGCTGCTGCTGCTGCTGCTGCTGGAAAGAGACACTTTCAGGATGAGGATGCGGCCGTCTCCGCCGCAGCAAAAGACAAAAGCCTTGCTGCAGCTGAGGCAGCAAATGCGGCGCCTGGGGTGTATCTCCACCAGAGGCTGCTGCACTGCGCAGCGGGCAGCAGCCCAGTCCCAGTGCTGCTGCAGGACTTCATGTTGCTGCTGCTGCTGCAGCAAGCCTTGCTGCTGCTGCTGCACCTCCGGGTGCCCTTGCACCTGATCTGCTGCAGCTCCAGGTGCTGCTGATGCACGAGCTGGCGCTGCCTCTGTTGCTGCTTCTGCTGCTGTTGCTGTCGTCGTTGCTGTTGCTGCTGCTGCTGCTGCTGCTGCTGCTGCTGGGACCTGCAGCAGCAGCACGTGAAGCGAGCCGTGTTCGTCGCCAAGTAAAACGACAGAAGACAAAAAAGAAGCTGTGGGGTCCTCCGTGTGGTGTACAGACACCAGACAGAGCGAGCACATTACGCGGTTAGTCACACCGCTGCTGCTGCTGCTGCTGCTGCTGCTGCTGCTGCTGCTGCTGCCGCGCGGTGCCCGGGCATCCTGCCGATAGCGCGGCAGCTTTACAGCAGCAAGTTGCTGCAGCAGCAGCGACTTACCCTCGTCCTCGCCAGCAGCATCAACAGCCCCACGAGTCCCAGCAGCTGCAGCAGCACCAGGAAGAGAGACTGAGTGCTGCTGCTGCTGCTGCTGCTGCTGCTGCTGCTGCTGCTGCTGCTGTCTCCAGACGTAAAGCTGCACTGTCCCAGTGTGGTCCCCAGCTGCAGCAAAACCAGCCATGAGGTCACTGACGCCTCCAAGGGGCCCCGCTGCAGCATTTGGGGGGCCCCCCTGAGTCATGCTGCTGCAGTTCATGTCTCCCCAGATGCTGCTGCTGCTGCTGCTGCTGCGTGCCAGCGGCAGCAGCACACCTGGGACAGCAGCAGCAGCAGCAGCAGCAGCATCAACTGGTGTTGCAAGCGGCCCCAGCGAGAAGACGGAGGCCGAGGAGATGCGGGCGCCCTCAAAGGCCCTAGCAGCAGTCACCGCTGCTAGGTGCCGCTGCTGCTGCTGCTGCTGCTGCTGCTGCTGCTGCTGCTGCAGGAGACAGATTCTGACCCTGCCATCTGCGCCCCCTAGGAAGAGACAGCAATCTGCCACCGCTGTGGCCGTGATGGGGGACGGAACGCAGCACAGCAGCAGCCAGCGAAAGCGCGCTTCTGCTGCTGCTGCTGCTGCTGCTGCTTCTGCTGCTGCTGCTGCTGCTGCGAGGCGCGTGACTAGGTAGACGTGGCCGTAGTTCGTGGAGACAATCAAACTGTCTCCTTCTGTCTCCTTGCTGCAGCAAAAGAACACCTCCCGAACGAAGTCCTTGCTGCTGCCGCCGAGCCAGCCGCAAGTTCCCTCGCAGATCCTTGCGGCTGCTGCTGCTGCTGTTATTGCTGCGTGTTCTGCTGCTGCTGCTGCTGCTGCTGCTGCTGCTGAGGTTTCGTTGCGGGGATCGGCGACGGTGGCTGTCTCTTCTGGTCTTGGGCTTCTGCGTTGTCCCGCTGTTTCACGGGGTGTGCCTGCAGCAGCAGCAGCAGCAGCAGCAGCAGGTGCTGCTGCTGCTGCTGCTGCTGTTGCTGCTGCTGTTTGTGAGCCTTCTTCAGGCGCAGCAGCAGCGGGTGCAGCAGCAGCAGCTGCTGTTGCTGCGACCCGACAGCTCCAAGTCCAACTGTTAAGACCTGCAGTACTCATAAGGCCCTGGGCCCCTCGGGTCTCCTTTTGCTGCGGCTGATCGCGATGCTGCTGCTGCTGCTGCTGCTGCTGCTGCTGCTGCTGCTGCTTCATGGGTCTCTTCTGCTGCCGCTGCTGCTGCGTTCTCTGGGTCTTCTGCGGCGGGTCAGAAAGAGACTCCACGGCTGGCGCTGTGGCTGCTGGTAGCTCTGCTGCTGCTGCTGCTGCTGTGTCTCCTTCAGCAGCAGCAGGTGTTGCTGCTGCTGATCCTGCTGTTGCTGCTGTTGCTGCTGCTGACGTTGCAGCTGCTGCAGACGACCCCACGGGGGCTGCAGCCGCCTTTTGCTCCTCTTGCAGTGACAGCAGCAGCTGCTGCTGCTCTTCTGGGGGCCCCTGCTGCCGCTGCTGCCGCTGCTGCTGCTGCTGCTGCAAGTGGCGCTGCAGCAGCAGCTGCAGCTGCGCTTTGCTGCTGCTCATGTGCTGCAGCAGCGGCCCCCACAGAGACGGCAAGCCCCTGAGGAGCCACCGCTTGCAGCAGCCATCTTCTCCCCCAGAGACAAAAAAGGAGACAGTGTCTCCTTTCAGGCCCCCCCCGCTGCTGCTGCTGCTGCTGCTGCTGCTGCTGCTGCTGCTGCAGCCTGTGGCTAGGGCCCTCACGCCCCCGCCCTTGTGGGCCCCCAGGGTGTACAGACAGGGGCCCCCAGGGGCCCACACCCTCACTGTGGAGTCTTCGCCAGCTGACAGCAGCAGCAAACTGCTGCCAGCAGCAAGCAGCAGCAGCAGCTCCGAGCAGCAGCAAGCTGCTGCTCCTCCGTCCCCGCTGTCCCCCCCACAGCAGCAGCGCCGGCTGCTGCTGCTGCGCTCCTCCGCCACCTGCTGCTGCCGCTGCTGCCGCTGCTGCTGCTGCTGCTGCTGCAGGCAGTCGAAAGTCAGCTGCTGCAGCTGCTGCTGCTCTGCTGCTGGCAGCAGAGACAAAAAGGAGACATTCCATATGCGAGACTTGTGGCCCGTCAGCACGGAGACACATTTGTAGCAAAACTCGACTGGGGGGCCCCCCGGGGGGCCCCCGGTACCCTCTTCAGCGGGGCCCCCCGGGGGGCCCCCGGTACCCTCTTCAGGGGGGCCCCCAGCAGCTAAGCATTTCTGAATCTGCTTGGCCTCAACAGCACCCAGAGCTGCCACCAGCGCTGCGGCAGCTGCTGCTGCGGGGTCCGTCGGCCGGCTCGCAGCAGCAACCTCCGTTGCTGCTGCTGCTGCTGCTGCTGCTGCTGCTGCTGCTGCTGCTGCTGCGGGCCTGCGCAGCCAAAGGCGGATCTCCCTGTCGTCCGAGGCCGAAGCCAAAAGGGCCCCCCCAGCAGCAAAAGAGAGAGAGAAGAGGCCCCCCCGGTGGCCCTGCAGTCTCTGGATAAGTACTAGCTCAGCAGCAGCAGCAGCAGCAGCAGCAGCAGCAGCAGCAGCAGCAGCAGCGGTGGCGCGCGGAGGGGGCTGCAGCAGCTGGCTCGCGTCTATTCGCAGCAGCCACAGAAACACTTCGGAGAAGGCGGTCCCTCCTGCCAGCAGCAGCAGCTGCTGCTGCTGCAGTCTTGTGCCGCAGCAAGTGCAGCACGTGCTGCTGCTGCTGCTGCTGCTGCTGCTGCTGCTGCTGCTGCTCAAGGCAGCTTGGGGATCGCTGGCTGGCAGCAGCAGCAGTGGGGTTGCGGCTCCTGCCTGCAGCTGCAGCGGCCCTCTGCTGCAGCGCTGCTGCAGCACCAAAGCCCCAGTGGCTGCATGCAGCAGCAGCACGCAGCCATCGGACAGCAGCAGCAGCAAGTAAAGGCAACGGCAGCAGCCTTCTACTGCTGCTGCCACCACTGCTGCTCCTTCTGTTGCTGCTGCTGCTCCGGGCCCCATTGCTGCTGCTGCTGCTGCTGCTGCTGCTGCGGTACACGGCAGCAGCGTGCTGGACGCTGCTGTTGCTGCTGTTGCTGCTGCTGCTGCCGTTGCTGCGGCTTCCTTTTCTGCTGCGTCTGCTGCCACTGCTGCTTCTGGTGCAGCAGCAGCACTAACAGCAGCAGCAGCAGCAGCAGCAGCAGCAGAAAGAAACAAAAACTCAGCAACAAGAAATCGCTGTCTTGCCTTCACCAGCAGTATCAGCTGCAGCTGCAGGGGCCCCTGGGGGCCCCCCAAGTCCCTTTTGAAGCTCTTTCGACTCTCCTGAGGCCTCCTGGGCCCCTGGGGGCCCCCCAGGGGCCCCCGGGGCCCCCGGGGGCCCCCCGGGGGCCCCCACTTGACCTTGTACAAAGCCAAGCGGCTAATTCCAAAGGCCAGCAGCAGACCCCCCGACTCTTTAAGGCCATAAACATGTTCGCTGGGCCCAAAGTATACTGCAGCAAGGGGGGCCTCCCCACTGGGGGCCCCACTGGGGGCCCCCCTGGGGGCCCCCCTGGGGGCCCCCCCGGGGGCCCCCCCGGGGGCCCCCCTGAGGGCCCCCCCGGGGGCCCCACTGGGGGACCCCCCGGGGGCCCCACTGGGGGCCCCACAGGGGTCCCTAGGGAGGGCCTCGTCTTTGGAGCTGAAGGGGCCCCCAGCCGGGTCCGTTGGGGGGCCCTGGGGGCCCCTGGGGGCCCCCGGAAGGGGCCCTTGGGGGGCCCCTGGGGGCCCCTGGCGGAGGCTGTAAACCCTAATGGTATTTGCCACTGCAGCAAAGAGAAGGGCCCCACACTGAGAGACACAAAGGGCTTTGCAGCTGCCGCTGCTGCTGCCCCTCTGCAGCCAAACCCTCTCTTGCGGGGGGCCCCCGGGGGGGCCCCCCAGGGGGGCCCCCTCACAGTCTCAGAGGGGGCCCCCAGACTTGCCATCAGCTCTGGGGGCCCCTCAAGAGAGGCAGGGGCCCCCAAGAAGACGCAAGAGGCGTTGGGGGCCCCCCCAGGGTCCCGCGGCACAGAAACCCTAAACCCTAAACCCTAAACCCTAAACCCTAAACCCTCAATTTCACACTGCAAATCACAAACCCTAAACCCTAGATATGGATTTATGTAGGACTAAACTTGGCAATGAAAATCGACAGCTGCTACGGGGCCCCCTGGGGCCCCTCAGGGGCCCCACAGGGGCCTCAGGGGCCCCATCAAGGGAAGTATACCCTAACCCTAAACCCTAAACCCTAACCCTAAACCCTAAACCCTAATGCCTTCCTAACTCCAAGTTGCTTCAAACTGGGCACACTAAACGCTAAACCCTAAACCCTAAACCCTAAACCACTGCACGTGTCCGTTGCTCCGTCGTTAGCTGAACGACAAACCCTAAACCCTAAACCCTAAACCCTAAACCCTAAGGCCTGAGCCAAAAGCCCGAAGACCTGGTTTCTGGGCCCAAGCCCTAAACCCTAAACCCTAAACCCTAAACCCTCGTGAGCTCCAGATCTCTTCAGATCTGCTCCGTTACCCAAGGCCGCTAAAACCCCCATCAGAGTAATTAGGGTTTAGCGTTTAGGACTCAACAAGGGTTTAGGGTTTAGGGTTTAGGGTTTAGAGTTTTGGGGTTTCGGCGAGAGAAGCAATCACCACCAAAAACGAAACCCTGTGTCTCTTCCGTACACAGGGCAACTGAAGCAGCAGCAGCTGCTGCTGCTGCTGCAGCAACTGCCTCTGCTGCTGCAAATCTCGCCACTGCTGCTGCTGCTGCTGCTGCTGCAGCTCCTGCAATAGCACGAACTGCTGCTGCTCCACATTACGCCGCTGCTGCTCTCACATAGCTGCTGCGGCTGCTGCTGCCGCACCGAGTGTCGCTGCAGCAGCAGCTGCTGCTGCTATTGCTGCTGCTGCTGCTCCTGTAAATGCTGCTGCTGCGAAGAGCAGCAGCAGCAGGCTGGAGAGCCAGCTCTAAAGAGACAACCAGTTTTGTGTCTCCTCAGCTGACATGCAGCAGCAACTGTTAGCTGCCACGTCAAGAAATAACTCATTAATACACGTTTTGCTGCTCTCGCTGCTGCTGCTGCAGCAGCTGCTGCTGCTGCTGCAGCATCTCAAGGGACGCCTGCAGCAAACTCCAGTGTAACAGTTGTGACGGCAGCAGCAGAACTGCCGCTGCTGCAGCTCACAGGTGGAAGCTGCTGCAGCAAGAATCATATGCAGCAGCTACAGCAGCAGCTGCAGCAGCAGCACTAGCAGCAGCAGAGCCGGTACTGCTGCTGCTGCTGCTGCTGCTGCTGCTGCTGCTCGCGTGTGTACTCAAGCTGGAAGCATGCCAATCCAGTATTTCCGCCAGAATATAAGGACTGCCGCTGCTGCTGCCGTTGGCTCTGCTGCTGCTGCTGTTGATTCTGCTGCTGCTGCTGCTGCTCTTCCTTTCCTTCTGCTGCTGCGGCTGCTGCAAAAGGGCCTTAAGTGCAGCAGCCAGCTGCCCGGTGCTCCTGCCTGCCCGAGTCTGGTGGCAGCAGCAGCAGCAGCAGCAGCACGCACAGAAAGCACAGCATTAGCAGCAGCAGCAGAGACGCAAGCCGCACGTCAGCAGCAGCAACAGCAGCAACGCACGCCGCAGCAGCAACAAACAGCAGCAGCAAAAGTGACCCCCCATCCCACAGAGCACTGCAGCAGCAGCAGCACAGTCCTCACCCCCATCTCCACCCCCAGTAGCAGTCCCAGCCGCAGCAGCAGCAGCACCCGCAGCAGCAGCAACACCCGCAGCAGCAACCGTAGAAAAGCAGCAGCAGCACCCGCAGCAGCAGCAGCAGCACGCGCAGCAGAAGCAGCAACAGCAGCACCCGCAGCAGCAGCAGCAGCACCCGCAGCCGCAGCACCCGCAGCACCCGCAGCAGCAGCAGCAGCAGCAGCAGCAGCAGCAGCAGCAGCAGCTGACCAATTCGCGTGGTGTGCGTTGCTGCTACTGGGCCACACTTGATGCCGTGGGTGTCAGTGGAAAGATCATAAACTCCCGCGAGGACATTTTCGTAAATCTTCCGCGCCGTCAATATGAAGGCCTGCGCGCCAGCAGCAGCAGCAGCAGCAGCAGCAGCAAGTCGCAGCAGCAGCAGCAGCAGCAGCGGCAGCAGCGGCAAACCCGCGGCAGCAGCAGCAGCAGCAGCAAACCCGCAGCAGCAGCAGCAGCAGCAAACACGCACCAGCAGCAGCAGCAGCAGCAAACCCGCAGCAGCAGCAGCAAACACGCAGCAGCAGCAGCAGCAGCAGCAGCAAACACGCAGCAGCAGCAGCAGCAGCATCCGCCGCCAAATGGCAGTAGAAGCAGCAGCAGCCACAGTTGCAAATGAACAGAGGAGCAGCAGCAGCAAACAGCAAACATCAACTGCACTAGAGCTGCAAATGAGCCGCAGCGGGAAAAAAAAGCAGCAGCAGCAGCAGCAGCAGCAGCAGCAGCAGCGAATAAGAAACAGCAGCTCTAGACTCTGCTTGCGCTCTGCGATCGGCTTCAAGAAGAGCTGTGCAAACTCCCCGCTGCTGCTGCTGCTGTAAGCCCTAAACCCTAAACCCTAAACCCTAAACCCTAAACCCTAAACCCTAAACCCTCACCTCCTCTACATTTTGAGCAGTCTTGGCAGACGTCTCCAGAAAAATCAAATTGTGCTGGCGAGCGAAGTCTTGGCCTGTCAACGCCCAAACCCTAAACCCTAAACCCTAAACCCTAAACCCTAAACCCTAAACCCTAAACCCTAGGCCGTGGGCCCTCAACAAAAAGGCTTCTCTCAAGGCGCCGCAGCCTTAGTCTGCCGGATGCAGCGTGAGCCGTGGCAGCAGCAGCAGCAGCTGCTGCTGCTGCTGCCCCCTTTATCCCCAGCAGCAGCAGCAGCAGCAGCAGCAACAGCAGCAACAGCAGCAGCCGTCCCACCAACGCCCATTCCCAGCAGCAGCAACAGCCTCGGCCCATCTCTCACCACCAGCAGCAGCAGCAGCAGCAGCACCCCTCCTATCCCCAGCAGCAGCAGCAGCAGCAGCAGCAGCACCCCTCCTATCCCCAGCAGCAGCAGCAGCAGCAGCAGCAGCAGCAGCCCTCCTATCCCCAGCAGCAGCAGCAGCAGCAGCAGCAGCAGCAGCAGCAGTTTACCTTCTTGGAAGGTGACTTCTCTGCGTTCCAAGTCGCATTTGTTTCCAACTAAAATGATTGTCATATGAGGGTTTGAGTTTTGCCGAACTTCTTCCAGCCAGCGAGTCAAGTGTGCGAAGGTATCTCGTCTGCAGCAGCAGCAGCAGCAGCAGCAGCAAACACCACACAGCTGCTGCTGCTGCTGCTGCTGCCGCTGCTGCTGCTGCTGCTGCTGCTGCGGGGGCTCACCGGGATATGTCGTAGACCAGCAGCGCCCCTGCTGCGCCTCTGTAGTAAGAGCGGGTGATCGAGCGAAAGGACTCTTGGCCCGCCCTGCAGCAGCAGCAGCAGCAACAGCAGCAGCAGCAGCAGCAGCAGCAGCAGCAGCAGCAGCAGCAGAGTGAAGCTGAGCCCCGGCAAACGGCCAGGGGGAGCTGCCTGCGGCGGGCGGAGGCAACGGCCTGGGCTGCTGGCCGGGGCCTCGGGTGCGGGGCCCGGGGTTTAGGGTTTAGGGTTTAGGGTTTAGGGTTTAGGGTTTAGGGTTTACGTGTCCCAGATCTGCAGCTTGATCTGGCGGCCGTCTATGGAGACCAGCCGCGCGCCAAACTCCACACCAATGGTCAAGTCGTGGTCCACTCGAAAGCGCTTGTCAGTGAACTGCAGCAGCAAGCAGCTCTTCCCCACTCCTGCAGCGCGCCAAACCCTAAACCCTAAACCCTAAACCCTAAACCCTGGGCCCTGGGCGGCGCGGCCGCGGCTCCTGGGGGCACGAGCAACGGCCGCGGCCAGCGCGGGCTAAACCCTCGTCTGCAAACCCTAAACCCTAAACCCTAAACCCTGAGGTTCGGGTCGCTGCTCAGGGAGAAGGGTTTAGGGTTTAGGGTTTAGGGTTTAGGGTTCGGGAGACGCACCTGTGTCGCCTATGATGATGTACTTGAAGAGGTACTGGTAAGGCGACATTTTGGCGCACAGACACTCTCTGCTGCTGCTGCTGCTGTTGCTGCTGCTGCTGCGGCTCTTGCTGCAGCAGCTGCTGCTGCGAGATCCGGCTCCCGACTCAAAGCCCAGCTCTGCTGCTGCTGCTGCTGCTGCGGCGGCGGCTGTTGCTGCTTGCTGCTGTCAATACTGCTCCACGGGAGCTTCTCCAACGCCGTCGTCGAGCTGCTGTTGCTGCTGCTGCTGCTGCTGTTGCTGCTGCTGCTGCTGTAACACGCCTCCGAAAGCAGCAGCCAGAGGCCCCGGGAGGATCTGCTGCAGCGCGAGAAGCACTGCTGCTGCTGCTGCTGTTTGCTGCTGCCACTTTGCGTATTCGTGTGCGGGTCGTTGTGCTGCAGTTGAATTGTACGTACACTCGAACGAAGCAGGCGAAGCAGCAGCAGCAGCAGCAGCAGCAGCAGCAGCAGCAGCAGTCGTGCAGCAGCAGCGTTAAACGTGTCGCGTCAACTCAGCCGCAGCGCAGTTAAGATTTGTTTAAATTAATTAATTAATTAATTAAATTTATTTGTTTCCGAAAGACAGAATCAGAGAGAGCCAACTAAACCCAACACACACAGGCCTACTACTGACTTGCCTGCAGCAGCAGCAGCAGCTGCTGCTGCTGCTGCTGCAGCAGCAGCAGCAACAGCAACAGCAACCGTCTTTAGTGATGCGCATAGTCAATTATAGCTTTTAAAGAAGAAACTTTGAAGGGCCAGACATCGCCGAAACCCCCAAAGCCCAAACCCTAATCCCCAGGCCGTGAACCCTGAACCCTAGATCCTAAACCCTAAACCCTAGATCCTAAACCCTAAACCCTAGACCCTAAACCCTAAACCCTAGGCTGTAAACCCTAAACCCTAAACCCCAGGCCCTTAGATGCCACTCATCTAAGATTCCGTAGAGCCACCCCACGGCCTCTCCTCTAAACCCTAAAGCTTTAACCGCAGCTCGTAAACCCTAAACCCTAAACCCTAAACCCTAAACCCTAAATTCTAAACCCTAAACCCTAAACCCTAGTTTTGGCGACCCATCTTGAGGGCGGCCTACAGAGCAACTGATACGTGAATAAGTGAGGGGCCCCACAGCAGCACCCGCAGCTGCTGCTGCTTCTGCTGCTGCAGCTGCTAGTTTGGTAGCTGCTGCTGCTGCTCCTGCTGCAGTTACTACTTCTGCAGCTGCAGCAGCAGCTGCTGCTGCTGCTCCTGCTAGTCCTGCAGCTGCTACTTCTCCTGCTGCTAGTGCTGCAGCTGGCTGTAATGTAGTTCCTGCTGCTGCAGCTGCTGTTGCTGCTGCCCCAACAGAAGTTGGTGTTGCTGCTGCTGCTGTTGCTGCTGCTACTGCTGCTGCTGCTGTTGCTGCTGCTACTGCTGCTGCTGCAGGTGCCGTGGGGGCTTCCTCTGTTACTTTTTGCTGTGGCCCCGCAGCATTGGTATATAAGCATTATTAATTGATTAATTAATTAATTAATTGATTAATTAATTAATTAATTAATTAACTAATTAATTAATTGATTAATGATCAGCTTCCAACTAGTTAATTAATTCGTTAAGTAATTCATTAATTTACTTATTTATTTATTTATTTATTTATTTATTTATTTATTTATTTATTTATTAATGATCAGCTTTTAACTAGCCAGTCAATTTGTTAAATATTTACTTAATTGATCAGTTAACTAATTAATTAACTAATTAATTAATTAATTAATTAATCAATTAATGGTCAGCTTCCAACTAGTTAATTAATTGGCTAAGTAATTAATTGATTAAATAAATAAATAAATAAATAATTAATTAATTAATTAATTAATTAATCAGAAGTAACAGTGGCAGATATTACGAAGGTCCCCAGGTGTACAATAAACTCGAACATACTTTCGCAGAAAATCCAAAAAAGAGAAAATTCATTTTTTAATTAAAAAGTACTTTTGAAAAGTGAAAAAAAAGTATTTTAAATGAAATAAGAAAAGTATTTTAAATGAAATAAAAAAGTATTTCAAATGAAATGAAAAAGTATTTCAAATGGATTTAAAGGAGACAGTTGAAAAAAAAGTTTTTGGAAAAGTTTGGAAAGAATAAGGAGTGGATTTGAGGTGTACAGACACCTCAGGGGCAGCAGGTGCAGGTTTATTATAATTGTTTTATTTCTTTTATTTCTTTTTATTTCTTTTTATTTCTTTTTCATTTAATTTTTTATTCAATTCCTTGTTGCACTTAATTAATTGTTTTATTTAATCCCTTCTTTATTGCTGACTTTTAAAGATTCTTTAATGCAGAAGTTTCTTTCCATTTGCACTTTTTTCTTTTTGGTATTTTATTTTTATCTTTTTTATATTCTTTAACTGTCCATTATTTTTAATTCTATTTTAAATTGTTTTCCACTTTTATTATACTTTACTTTATTACACTTCGTTTCAATTCTGTTTTACTTTTTAGTTTAATTTAGTTTTATTATTATTTACTTTATTTTTACTTAACTGTTATTTTCTTTTGTGACTTTATTTGCATTTATTTTTATTTTTATTTTAAATTTGCTTCCGAGATAATTAACTTTCGCGTCAGTTCTCACTTTTATTTACTTTTATAATTACATTTATAATTATGTTTTTATTACATTTATAATTATATTTTTAATTACATTTATAATTATATTTATAATTATATTTATAATTATATTTTCACTTGCATTCACAATTGAATTTAATGTTAAACTTATAATAATATTTCTAATTATATTTATGAATATATTTAAAGTAGGATTAATTACATATTTATAAAGACATTTTAACTACAGTTTAATTATGTTGAATATTATAATTGCAATTAAATTTATAATTAG